TTGGGAATATGTATGTTACAGTCATGATAAGACTCGGCCAGATTATTTCTTTCAATGCAAATTGAATAGAAAAGTACGGAAAGGACTGATATATAATGATATTTCATTTTAGTTGTTGCTTGTGAACTGAAATTTTTTTGTCTGTATGAGTCAATAACAAATAAATGTTGCTTTTTACTTTTGTCATAACGATCATTTATAAGATGCGAAACAAGCAAAGCTATTGAAATATGTTGAAAGTTATGGCCAGAAACGATGAAAGCATGAAAGCACTAATCTGATGTGTTGAAAGTTATGGCCAGAAACGATGAAAGCATGAAAGCATTAACCTAATGTGTTGAAAGTTATGTCCAAAAATTTCATTGATTAGAAAACCATATCTTCTGCTTAAGGTAATCATTTTACTTTCTTCAATAATACAAGTATTATTAAATCATCATTATTAATCTTTCAATGAATTCTCGACATAATATTCATTTAAGTGTGAAACTTTGATTGATTTAAAATTGATCAAATCATTCTGTAAACATTTATCACTTTGAATTAATATTAGCACTCATCACGGAACGGTACATTTTTCATATTCTGTTGATGCAAAAAATAAAACCAGCGATGTAATATATTTGATGATTATAAAATAAGCAATAATAGCTGATGGTAATTAATATTTTATCATCACTTTCTGTCATCATAACAGAAAAAAAAGAATTATAAAATTGATTATGAATCACAGAATGATAATGATTAAGTGATATTTCTCGTTCTGAAATATTAAAACTGTTTCTGTTTAAGGTATATTCGCTTTGCTATTTATTTTTTCCAGCTTTTGAAATGCCTTCAGTTTTCTTTTATTTTTCCAAACCAATCATTGCAAATTTTGAGAGTAAAAAAAAATTCTAGCAAAGTTAAATGACGATAAATAGTGAAGTAACTATTAAAGAGATAAAATTAAGAATTGTAGGCCCGCAATAATTTGCGTGATATACATATATGTATATGCTAGCACCGTTACGTGACCTATCACACATCGCAGATTTACAATCATTAGTACCAAAATGTGGTGGATGTTCTGAAAATTTGGATGCTTTGTTACGAGCACCATATATTCTTTCATGTTGTCATACATTATGCTTGACCTGTCTAACACAGGTAATTTCTTGTTTTTCTTTTGAATGATAATTTTCTTGCTAAGTATAATTAATAATTAATTTGCAAATATTAAAATTGTTTGTAAACAAAATCTTCTGTAACTGTTTGCAATCAATGTTTAGTGGTAAAAGTGATAAATAGCCAAACTTGAAAATAATTTTGAAAAAAAAAGAGCAATTATAAATTAAAATTATAATTGTTTTTTTTTTCACAAAATTTTTTCTTCTTTGTTTTTTCCTGGAACCGCTTCAAATTTTAAAAATTAATGCTCTTATCAATTAGATATTAAATTCCTTATCATTTTACCGCATTTCTCTTAAACTCTTCAATTAACAATCACCACAACAGCAACAGAACAAGAAGAGAAGGTGTTTGATTTGTCGAGCAAAATATGCAAAATATACGATGAACAGTGCTTTACTTTGTATGTCATTCATTCTTTTTATATTCCAAATGCGAGAAAGAAGGAAAAGGTCGAAGTCTCATTTCAACTTTGACCTTTTCATTCTTTTTGGAGGAAGAGATAATATCACATTGCATGCATAATTAGAGTGATACTGATAGATTGTCAAAAGATCAGGGCGATCAAAAAGCTGATATTCAAATTTTCCAAGCGTAGTATATACGATGTGTTTAAGAAATTGTTTTGAAAAATATGAACAACGATTGTCACTATTCAAATCTCTATTCAAATCGATCTAAAGAAATTTTTGCATGTATGAAATATGAGTGAGTTAATTTAGCAAAAGCATTTTAATTTTTTGCTCATTGTTGTTTAAAAATTTAGAATTGATTATTTCAGCTTTAATTGTACAAATCCGAGAACTAATCATATGCTATCAACGTTCCAGCGCTTTTTGTGAAGAATGTGGAAGACAAACAATTGTCATTGATATGCGTCGATGTCGTACTTGTGAAATTGAACTGTACAAAACGCTAAAATATTCTTTGCAGGTTAAACTTTTTTTTTTAATATGTCAAATAAGCGAGAAATAATCGAGAGAATAAGCATAAAAGCGGCTGTTTAGCTGGCAATGCTTATCAGTTTATGAAAATATTTAACCATTTATAAATTATCAATTTATTCTTATTTATTCGAGGACAATTGATTGATTGATTATTCAGTATAGTCACATATAATGAGCTCTCCCATGATCAGTCCTAACTGGCTGGCCTATATTTAGGCTTAGTCTAGCAATCAAATTTTTTCAATTCTTTGTAGACATGTTGCATTTGTTTGCAATGTTGCGTGGAACATCACAATGGCCATGTATTGCAAGAAATCTTTACCACATTGGATAAATTCGAAAATGATTCAATCTATAAATCATCTTTACTAACAGCGGTAATTGACTGTGATTACTACAAAGTTAATTATTGTAGAGTCGATTACTGTAATGTTAATTACTGTGAGGTCGGCTACCGTAGAGCTAATTATTGTAATAATGGTTTTATACCAGTTCAGGCTAATTTAGAGATTGCAAGACTCATTCCATAAGAATTGCCTAGATCTGTTAGTTCTTTAGGCTACTAGTAAAAAGTTGAAATATCCATGAAATTAAAATAATAAATAGCATCAATCCATTTATTCAAAAATGCGTATTATCTTCAACAAACATATGGAATAAATTACTTTTTTTTTTCCTCGAGAAATATATTCATCATAAATACAAACTGATGTCTGTCCATTCAAAAACATTGCCTTCCATATCTTCTACATCCAAGTCCGAAACGTCAGATTTAACGTCAACTCAAATTGTATGGTTAGTTGAATTGATATATTAGAAGTATTTATTATAAATTAAAATATCTTGTATGTATTTATTTAGAATTCATTTGTAATCATTCTATGAATATGTCTGAAATTTTAAATGTAATAACTTCAATATAATTTATACAATGAATTTATTTAGCACTGGCAGTGATGATTCCTGTGCAAAATATGTAAATATTTCATCGAGCAATGACTCGGAATTTAAATTCCCACCTGAGGTCAATTTATTCTTTCTGAGAACACATTATAGTATAACATTTGTTCTATGATATCTATTATCATCAAAGATTAAATGAATAGAAAACAAATTTTCAGGATATTACAGTGGAATTTTACAATGCTGAGAAGATTAGAAAGGAATGCAAGACAGGTGAACCTTCCATGTACATATATGTAAAGCCTAATAATGACAGAGTAAAGATAACAGAATTGTTCAGTTAATTATAAATTATGAATTTAATTCAATCTCATAATGAATCTAATTTAAATTTCTCATCCGTATTGAGGATTTTTCTCTAGCAAAAATGAATTGTAATGCAATTCAACTTTTTGACATATCCATTCTTTGCTATTTCATGTTTCATTAATTAATGTCATTTCAAAGTTTCCAGGAATTTCAAAATATGACTAAAATTTGGATCCTCGATTACAAAAAAAAATCTACGAAAAATGGCAACCGAAGAGAAAATAAAATTATATGAATGAAAATTTTAATGGAAGCAATTTTTAATGATATTTTTTAAAAATAATGAATCTTTTAATAATAATAAATCTTCAACTAATAATAAATCCTTGTAATTTGCTTCTTTCATTTCTTTTCCTCAACATAAAAGAATTTTTTTCTTTTTTTTTTGCAGGAAATCAATCATTAAAATAATTTATTTTTAAGCTTCCACATGAAATTAAAGGTACGTCACATGTACGTCACAGTGCGTCACATACATCATCAGAGTACGTCACATACGAAATTAAAACTTCATCACATTCATATAATATATGTATAAATGATTTGCAATATAATTATTGAATGACTTATCATTCTTCAATCGTAATTCTCAGTTACTTTCCTGATTCGATCTCATGAAATTATATTTCGCTAGCAGTTTGATACAATTGAAAATTTTCTGGATTTTTTTTTTTTGCAAGACACAAATAACAATAATGATTGGGATTTTTCTGCAAGAGATTTGTCATGCTTGTCACGATATCAGTAATGGAAGTGTAATCTTTGAACTAGAATTTCATGATCACCATCAATATCATTTTCATCTCAAAACTTCAATTATTCCATAAAATAAATGCAAATCAAAGCGTATTAGAGAGAAAAATTAGCTGATAATAATGTACATTTTGACAAAAAATATCCAGCAAAATATATTGAACAAAAGATTTTTGATCAAAGTTAATTTTAAAAAGAAAAAAAAAAGAGAAACAAATTAGCAATATTAAAATTATCGAACAATCAATTAGCGCAATCATTTCTATAATTGAAATCATTTAGTAATGAAATTTAAAAAGAAAACAGTAAATGAAAAAAATTGCTAAGTCTTGTGGGAAAAGCATAAAAAATTGGTAGCAGCTGAATTGATAGTATTAATCTGAGAATCATTCCAATCATTTTGATCATTTGAAAAACAACTGAAATTTGGAAAAGTCCAATGAGCACATTTATTGCATAAATCTTTCCCGTACTCATAGCCGTGCCTCTTTTTATTCATCAATTTGTTACCATTTCCATCGTGTAATGTCTTCCTAAAATATAAATGAAATGCAAATTTTTATCAAATCAATTAGCTGGGTAAATTAGAACACGTGAAAGCATGTACAACATTACGTGAAGTAATTACTATTTGTATACAAATAAGATATTTATATTTGTAATATGGCAATTTGAATAAATTCAAAATTTTAACAATTATTACAATATCGATGTTAATGTTTGCCTTTAAATTCACTTCAATATTCCAAATTTGCTTCAGAAAAAATTTAAGAAAAATTTGAACGTTTAAATAATATTTCACTTTTTAAGTAATTTATTTTTATTTTGCTGAAGAAAAAAAAGAAGGAAAATTATTACTTACAAAATGATATTTGAATTCAGAGGTTTGTTGAAATCTATGATCTGCAGGACAGATGAAGGTAAACTGGTCGATCGTCCAACAAACACCAACGATTCTCGACTTGTCAATGGCTGATCAATTATTGGAGTTGTGGTTTTTGCTGAGAAAAAACATATTTAATTTAAAATGCATAAGAATAATTGTAAAAGAAATTGTAATTTCTAAGCGAGAAAATTTCATATTCGTCGTCAATCCCTCAATACCATAAATTTTCTGATAGTAAAAAAAAGTTATGGTAAAAATTATTTTGTAGGCGATTTCAAAGATTTTTTTTTTTAATTATCCAAAAATAAAAATGTAACTGACCGATGGATGTGACCGTATATTTCCCACACGATATGCAATGGTCAGCTCTGTCCGGTACTTTCCATTGCTGTGAATTTTCCAAATGTTTGAAATCATGCATTGTTGATAAATCATTTAGCATTAGCCATTCGGTAATACGAGCTCGTAGCTCACTAACAGACATCGAATTTGCCGTTGCCGCATCAGTTGTTGGCTTTAAAGTTTGCAGAATTGAACTCAAATCATCCTTCGACAAATCAAATATTGTTGTTGACGATGACGATGAAGCCATCTGTAGCTATTCAAATTAAACTTTAATACAACCAAAAATTCGAAGAGATGATACGTAACGATAAATTGAAGTTAAAGTTTCATCACGAAAAAAAAATTATTTTTCCTCAAAAAATCAAATGAAATAAGCAGTAACCAATGTATATTGTAAAATTTAGTAAGTCAAATTTAGCTAATTGTCTAAATTTTGATATTTCTAACTTATCTCGTTTGTTAATTAATATATATATTAACTAATTAAAAATATGCCCAATTTTGATATTTGCAATCTAGTTAACACGTAACTTTCATTCTTTTTTTTAATTTTATCAGTTAAGATTGTAATTGTAAATTTGAAATTTCAATTAAATGAGTAATAATTTTTGTACTTTGCCAAAAATCGCCATTCATAATATTCATTCATTTCTACTAAAAAAAATCTGAATCAAAACTATCTGTCGTAATTGCATCATCGTGAATTGATGAGGAAATTTTTGATGAGAAACAACGATGAGGAAATTTTTTATCAGTTAATATGAAAAGCTATTGAGGAAACAGAGAAAAAACTGTTTAAAATTGCTGAGAGGCATTTTTTACTATCAATCCATTTTAAATAGTAATGTTTTATTTTCTTTTTTGCATATATCTCTCGAAAAAGACCAATAATAATGGGCTTTTCCTTAAAAGAGCAATCAATAATGGCATATTTTATCAAGAAGCTATTGATATATTTTATCATTAATCACATCAAATTAGCAATCAGCTTAGATCAATGGTAAAATTATTTTAAAAATTCATGATTTTACCTTTATGAAATAAATGAATCGAAGAAAAGGGATTCGAATATTTTTGAAGTAAAAAATTTCAAGAAATCGAAGTTAATGATAGTATCAACAATAATGATGAAGCATAAATTGAATCGAAATCTTTCCGTTCTCCTCACTAACCGTTGCTATGGTGAGCTCGACCCGATTTCAAAATATTTCACATTAACTCGTTTAAATATTCCAAAAATATTGAAAAATAATAATGAATGAGTGTACTAGTTAATATAATTGAACTTGAAAAGGTCAAGAAAGTGAGCAGGAAATTGTTAACGAAATCCGTAAAAGGAAATAATGTCCGGTTCTTGACGGAATCATTCCCAGATTTGTTAGTTGGATGGAATTGTTTATGCATTATGGAAAGAAAGGTAGGAAAAGAGCGAGAGAATGTTAGGATAGTGAAAATGAAATGAAGTAAGTGAAGTGATATCAAATTTTTAGAAGCCTAATGGATATGACTGAAAGAAAGCTTTCGATAAAAATTACGGACAAGCTATACTTATGATAAGTATTACTCAAAAGCATAAATACTTTCGGCAATTGGAATTAGATAAAAATTAGTAATGCCTAAGAATACGGATCAATTGCTATCATATCACAACAAAGTAATTGGGTATTGTTGAGAATCATTCATTGAATAAATTCCAAACTTGTCATTTATTAATTAATTCTCCCATTATTCAATAATGCCACTTCGTTTTTTTTTCTCGTTCGAAGAAATTTAATATGCTTACATTAAATTTCTATTAAATTTCTTAAAGGTTAGATGGTTAGAATTTGAAATAATAGTGCGAAAAGTTAGGATTGAAGAGTTTGAGTTATGCCATTTTCGAATTTATTGCAGAGAACCAAATATCAACATAAAATTAAAAAATTTCATATGTTCTAAATGTTATGTGCATTTATGTATTTGTCTGTCTGATGGATAGGAAGAATTTTAAAATTGAAAATTTCATCAAATTTTCAGTAATCATCGTTTTGTTATTATTATTATCCTAATTAACTTCACATAAATGAGGTCAAATGTGAGTGAACAAGAGGAGACAATAATAGCAATTAAAATTGGCAAAATAAATGTAAACGGTTACGATTGACTAACACAAAAAAAAAAGGATAAAGACAGGCCTATTGCATCATTTTAAGGTTATTGGTGAAGTGATGAGAGATAATGTTGGACAGAAGCTAAGCTAGTGAAAGTTTACATTTGGCCTCAAAAATTACAACAAATCATTTTTCTCTTTCTTCATTCTTTTTTCTTGCCTTTATGGGCTGCTGGCTGACTGACTGGTTGGCTGGATGGAATTCGTCCTTCTGCTAGGCCACCAATCAAAACAAGAAGAATACAAAACACACACACACACACACACACACACAGACGCACAGACATACCTTTCGAGATGACACATCGATCGGTCTATTTTTCGTCCTCTCCCTATTCATGCACATTTACTGTGTGTGTGTGTGTGTGTTTGTTGTTGAAATGAAATTGTCATGAGATGTTTATAGAGGGATGAAAGTAAGAGAAGGAGGGATGTGAAAATATTACAATATCTTTTCAAGGGCATTTTTTCTTCACAAAGGTCATTTTAGAAAGCTTTTTTTTTTCTAGAAAGGTCATTTTTCATGGCAGCAGTGTATTCAAAAAAAAAAAAACTACAACATTAATAGCTTCACAAATTGCAAAAGTAATATTTTATTTCTAAGCAATTAATATGAATGAATGAAAATTTTCAATTAAATATAGAAATTTAATCAAGAACTTCCAATATTAACAACCCTTATTTTTGAACCACTAAAAAAAGGCTGATAAGAGAGGAATGAATGTGACAGTGTAAAATATATTTATTTTTTCCTTTTTTTTGCATTTCTTCTTTACTTATACATTAATGGCTTTCATAAATTCAGCAATTATAATTAATCCAATCCAAGCATTTCATTTTCAACTTTTAAAACATTTTTCAATTTCAAAATTCGGGATAATATGATGATTGATGACAGGTCTCAGAAAAAAATCAAAGTCATCAATAAATGCATTTAGCAAAGCGAATTAACCACGATAGCATAATTATAGCAATTAAAAGTAAAATGAAACGGTAACTTCAGTCATTGAACAAAAAAAAAATGACAAACTTTAATTTGAGTAAACAAAACGAAAGGAAAATGATTTATATGTATATACATAATTAAATATATTCAAATTAATGCGAAATCCATTAATGGTAAAATGTGTTTTTTTTATCTTTTCTTCCCAACAAATGTCGTTTTACAATGAAAACAGACAACATATACACACATACACATACACACACACACACACATACACACA